AGGTTAGTTTGCCCAATGTTTGATCCAAGAATTACCTTTTCTTCTGGGTTGGGTTCAAAATGACAAGGCTATGAAGTTAAATTTTGATAGACGTCAACTCAGAATTGGGTTGCCTATTGAACGTCGTTTATACTATATATGCGACCAATGCATTTAATATTTTACTCGGCGGCTAATGTCACTCTGTGTTCACACATTAACCAGAAGTTAGAGATTTTAAATATTTTTAAGCTCTTAAATACTGTTTCTAGGGTAAAATATTTGTAACAACTTAAATAACATTGTTCAGGTGAATCAGGCTTGGTTGATTTTGATCGGCAGACACACCGAAAGTAATACCAGATGCATCATGAATTAGAAAATCTGGGAATAACTTTTGGAGGTTTTCCCATCTATGGAACGCTAATGTGTGTGAAAAAATCTTCCAAAAAGGACGTTCCCTAGACTTCTGAGTAGGTCTCTAATGAACGAGGTCAAATAGGAAAGCGTCCTTCATGTGGATCGGCCAGTGATAAAATAAAAGTTATATATTTTTTTAAAAATAAAAAACGCGTCCTCTGAGTCTGGGTCAAAATCATAGAATTGAACAGAGAAAGAATACATCCTCTATTTGAAATAATTATTCAGTGCCTAAGGCTAAATAAAAGTTTTAATTTTAACCAGAAAACCCGTAGTTTTAATCATATCAAAGGCTTAGAAAGGCTGAGAAATGTGTACAACCAGCTTAAAAACTAACGCGAACTTGAATTTTTAAACTATTTATTTTATAGTATTCTGTTAAAGATGTTAGGTCTACAGCTCCGCTTTAAAATCTCAAACTTGGAATAAACAGTACTCCAAACTGGCCAACGTGCCTATTTTTACTACTAAAAATCTATTTGCAAGTATAAAGGAAAAAACATAAATATTAAATATTTTTTTTTAACTATTCATATATTTGCAAACTTTGAACGGAGAAAAGATTAGTCTGTTTGATTTCAAAACGAAACTTTTTAGAGAATTCAACTCCCCCCGTACTGCACCCCCACCCCCGATTCTTTAAAAAACTAGTGCAACACAAACGAAAGAAAAATTGATAGCTATAAATAGTATCTTAATCGAAGATACCCCTTTCACCTTTTCGTGCCTCAAGTAACAGAAAAGAAACAGAAAACTGGGCCGTGTTTCACTTAATATTGCATCAGTGCACGTAACAGTTTTTTTTTTAACGGTTGGCGAGTCATTTGGCGAAAACCTGCTCTTTATATAGCAATTCTTCAGATCAGGTCCGGCTAGTTTTAATTCCAGGTGTGTTCTTTACCAGACGTTTGTTACGCAATCAGTGTGGGGTGTTTACCTCGTCAGCGGGCGGTAAGTTTTTACTCATCTTCTTTTTCCCTAATCATTTTTTGCGCTCTGTTTAACTCCAAGTCAATCAGCCATTAGTCTCATTAGCTCTCATTTTAATAAGTTCCGCTATTATGAAAATATATATATCGTGATTTTTTTTTCTTCCTATCGACTTCTTAAATCTTAATAGAGAGACTATAAAGATTTTATTTTTCCTCCTTAATTGGAAGGAAATGAAGCAGATATGATTATGAAAACAAATTCGATCTATTTTCCTAAATTAATTTTAAAAAAAAGTCTTTTATCCAGAAAATTGAATGGCTTGAGTTTGTAAAATGATTAGCTACATTTCAAAATTGCTCAGATGAGCATTTATGGTACATATTATGATTTCAGTATATTGTACTACTATCTAGAGGAAAGTTTCTAAAACTTGTAAAAAATCTGTCTTGAAAGAATACTAAGGTACAGTTTAATGCAAGAAATGAAAATGTCAACTTAGGAGTAAAATTTGGTTGTTCAACTTTAATTTAGTTTTTAGCATGTTTTAAGGAAAAATCGCAATTGTTTTACGATAGACTTCATCGACAAAATATATTTTTCTTACTTTAAATTTATGAATTCTTTTTAGATGAGCATTGAATAGTCTAATGGCAAATTTTATTTTTGTAATTTTTTATGGTCAGAAGTCTAATGATTAATTTTATTTTTGAAATACTATAGAAAAACGAAGGAAATTTATAATGAGTATTTAGTTTTAAGAAGTAAGAACTTCGTTCATGCTTTACCTAATTGGAATGGAATTTTTTGCATTCTAAAGTTGACACCGATGAAATATCTCTGCTCTAAATAATAAAAATTAAAAATTGAGTTTTTTGTGTTTGATTTTTTTTTATTTATTCACAAAATTGTAAGTATTTTATGATGCACCATTATTTTAACCACATATTCTTTTTATCCAAATGAATTGGCCACTTTGATATATTCATTAGTAGCACTTTAATTTGAAACTGAAGTGCTATTAATTATTACTAATTACTACTCAAAAGTAATTTTCTTAACACATATATATTTAGAATAAAAGATCTATTTATCGATTGGTATTTCGTTCGTATGATGGGTACTTTATTTGTATTGACGTTCATTTTGAATTATAATGAATTTGAATAGCGTTTGAAACACTAGTTTTTAAAAATCTGTTCTTTTGCAATCTGTTCGTTGTCTTTGCCACGAGTTTACAAATAGCACGTACTATAATTATGACTTTTTGGAAAATTGTATTTAACAAAACGTTTATTTTGATACAGAAAAAAGAAAGATTGAAATAGGGCATTTTAGATTGTAAATTCAATTGACAGTATTTTTAAGCGACAATAGGTTTTCAAAAAAGGTCTGAAGTTTCAAAAAGAAATGCTTAAAATGAGCAGTTTTATAATAATATTTAGACTTGTTGGTAGTATCTGTTGATTTTGGGATTAAGGTAAAATGTCTGATATATAGCTGCTTATAAACTTAGTCTGTTAAATCATACTTAAGCTCATATACTAAACTAGATCTCTTCCATTTAGCAATTCGGTTGTGAGTGAAAATGTGAAATTACTTAATTACCAGTTTAGAAATAAATGGTAATGTTATAGTTCAAAATAGATAGAAGTTAAAAATAAACGCTGAAGTTAATCCTTTAGAATGATTAATCTAATTATTTCAAAGTAAAAATATTTGAATTCATTAATCAGTCAGTACATTTTGATTGTTACAATTTATTTTTTATTACACATTGAAACCACTCGAAATATCTGTCAAAATCCAATTTTACACAACAGGAAAAGATGCCCGAATCGTTTAGACAGAACAACTAATGTTACGTGAGCTTCAAATTAGAAATTTATAGACAATTTTATGTAATTTTAAATTTTTTTGTTGTGAAGTTAAAATAGAAAACATGAATTTTTATTTCAACTATACATGTCTGTAGTATTTTAAACCTACCATTATTTGTACAGAGCTGGTTAAATATATAATATTTTCCAAACCAAACATACATTTGGAATAAATTTATCCTTTAAAACATTTAATTAGGTTTGGTCGAAGTTTTAAATTAGATTACAATGTGAAAAATGAGAAGGGAGAAATTCGAATAGAGTATCCTTTTGAACTGTTTTATGGCATATAAATATACATCCAATTGAGCCTTGTGGATTTTGTTTCGTAGTACCAATATATGAAGAAATACATCATCATCATAGTTGGCTAGACAGCCCAATGTGAGCCAATGCCTTCCTCTGAAGATTTCTCCATGACGACTTCGGATTTATCTTTGATCTCCAATTTTTTTCATTAATTCCAGCTTCCAACTCTATCCAAATTTCGTTTTCCAAATCGTTTCTATGAAGTCATCCGGGATTTTTCTTCGAAGGATTTCGTAACAAGAAATTTTTACAGGATAGAGGTGTCAACCCTATGCCCAATCCCCAACCTGGAGGACCTGATATAATCCCCAGAGGCAGGGTGCCCGGTTATACCCCCAGACACTGGGTACCCATTTTAGTCGCCTTTTACGACATGCGTGAGCTGCATTGGGACTATTCTCTCACATCTGGTCACCACACGGGTGATAAAGAAATAAAAATATTCTACTGTGCGTAAAAAATCATTATTTAAAGAAATAATTTAAAAAGTTTAATTGAAATTTGTTAAAATTTTAAATCTTATAATTTTCTTTAGCTAGTTGTTTATTTAGTAAGCATATGTTAAGCTTTATATTTAAGTAAAGAGTTTTCTGAAACTATTTAAAGCTCGGAACTCGGGCGGACAAAAGTATTTGTAGTAAAAAACTCTAGATTATATCAATATCTTTTTCCCTTTAAAATTTGAGTCCTTGATAAGATTTTAACCTTTAAGAAAACTTCTTGAATAATGAGGATTAGTTACTAACTAGATGAAATAATGGATATAGTTACCCTTGGTATTAGTTTTTTTTTTTGTAAACTTTGGTAGACTGTGACCCAAATTCAAAATGTGAACTCTGAAAATACCAATGAAACATCGCCCACGGTAGAATAATAATGCTGATCCCCTGTTCGGGTTTCAATTTTGCCGTTAAACTGGTAAGGTCACTCGAAGCTCAGCTCTTTTGACTGTAAGCGATAAGGTACTACACCCGTATTTGTTATAAAACTTTTTCTTAAGATTGAATCTTTTGCTGCTGAACAACTGAAATTATTGCTGTTGTACTATTGCTATTGTAGAATGATTCAGTATTTGGGAAAACAGTTATGACCGTCATTTAAATTTCCAAAATCGTTTAAAAGATCAATTCAGTAGGATTCAATTTTTGATGATCAGCTCATTTATTTTTCCCCATGTATCCTAATCTTATCAGCATTTAAAACAACTGAAATTATTGTTGTTATTGAATGATTTGGTAGTATTTCAATTGTCTTTTTTTTTCACTCCTTCAAAAGTTGCTGCTTATAATTATAAAAAAACAACTTATGTACAGCTAGTCAAAAATCTTTATTTGAAATGCGGTTAATGTTAAAATTTTTAGTTTTATTGTATGGCTTTAATTAATAGAATGTATACATTTTTAGGCATCATTTTTTTGTTCCTTTTTTTATCTATTTAGAATCTAGTAGAAATGAATGTCTAAAGCAGAAGTTCTCAAATAGTGTTCCGCGGAACCGTGGATGAGGTAAACAGATTATGAGATTTAGAACTTTTTTTTCTCAACATTTTTGAAATCTGCAATTATATTTAGATACAATCAATAATCCGTTATTTACTTGTTGCCTTTACAATATTATTTAAAGTAAAATGCCAATGAAAAAATTCATTTTTTTAGGAAAAAAAAACACAATTTTTCAAATAACAATATATTGAATAAATTATGAAAAGGACATGCATTTATAAAATATTGCTTCAATACTTCTTTTCGCGCTTTTTCAACCAAAATAAGTTAGTAAACAGATTGTTGATAAAGAAATGTTTATTTAAGGGCGATTTTCAACGTTTATAACAGCTCTTTTTAGTTTTCATTTCAGCGAAAACAATTCTGCTTATTTCATTCATTTTAAGCTTATGTTTATATACAAAATCAAGTTTATAACAAGACTAAATTCAGCTCCATGACTGTGAATTTAACTTTCGACTATAAAACTTAAGATTATTAATGATAAAAACTACGAAAAATGCCATTCTATATATATCTATTTTCGAAATAAAGCAGTTATTTATAGGTTCATAAGCTTACAATTGTCTTTAGATATTTTGGTTATAAATTCGGGGTTCCGTTGAAAGAATGTTGATCATTTAGGGTTCCATAGCAGAAAAAAAAAAATGGGGAACCGCTGATCTATATGGTGTTTCGTTAGAGAGAAAAATCGCCGCATTTGTAAAGGGCAGTTCAAATATTACTGAAGCATATTTTTTTTGGGGACTATATTCCCTCTGTCAGCAAAATAAGCAAATAACAAACCCTCTCCTATGCTTCCATGAAAAAGTCGCATCAATCGGACATTCACCAAAGCGACTTTGATTGTTGACATTCACCGATAAAGATAGACATTCTCCTCTTTCTTTCGGTTATTCACGGTGTTATGGAGTTGATGGAAAGAAATGTACATCCATATGTGAGACTCTGGGATCCCTAGTTAATTCACAACTTTTGCTGATTATGGTTGATAGCAAGTGATATTTAGAATTTGAGGTGGTTTGCATCGTTTACATATCGTAGAAGCTGCATTTTTGATAATTCCTTACGCTTTTGAATGACTTAGATCAGCAGTACTCAACTTTCTTTCTGCTACGGAAATCTAAAGGATCAATTTTCTTTTGGGGAACCCTGGCTTCAAAAATAAACTTCCTTAGAAATTGTGAGCTTTTTAAGCAAAGAGAGATTACTATTTTGAAAATACTTAAGGAACGGAGCGTTCGCCTTCCTATGAGATGAACCGGGTTCGAATCCCAGTTATGTTGGGTCGATACGAATCCGCATCCGATTTGCACCGACCACAGCACTCACCTGAAATATCCTCAGTGGTAGACGGATCATGGGTTAGTCCTTTTGCCATCAGGCTAACAGTGGGAGGTTTTCGTGGTTCTCTTCTCTCCACGTAACGCAAATGCGGGTTAGTTCCATCTAAAAGTCATCCACGAAGGCAAATTTCTCTCGAAACTCGATCTAAGAGTTCCCTTTTTTCTGAATTGGGTTCAAAATTACAAGGCTATAAAATTACAAGGTATTCGTAAACCCAAAATTGGGTCGACTGCTCAGCGACGCTCAGAAAATAAAATGGAAGAAATGAAGTTTTTTCATAGTTTTAGTAATAGCCCTACAGTATCCATAATCATCGTTAATATTCATAACTAACTCCCTGGCATTACAGTCCATGTTGGACCATGGCCACACTAACAATTTTCCTCCAATTTCTAGCTTTTTGTTTCCAGTTTCGGACTTTTAAGAGTCTTAAGGTCTTTTTCCACCTCGTCAAACCATCTTTTGACCGGCCTTCCTCTTCGTTAATATTCATACTGAATTCATTTCATAAAGTCATGAAATTACGTTTCATCAGACATATTGGATTCTGAGGTCAAGAGTGGCATCTAGTCGCGTTTTGAATTTTTGTTTCTTCCTATAAATGTAAATATTAATTTATAGGAAAATTAAAATGCATGGAAAAAAAAAACCGGAATTTTGTGGATTTCATTAAAAGAAAAAAATGTATTTATGTTTTCTGTATATTGTTCAATTGAGTTATTTAATTTGGAATTAAAGAATTAGATGGGAAATGCGAATGCAATTTTTTATAATTTATGTTCCCCTATATAATTTATATTAAATACATATGATTTTCCTTAATTACCTATTTTCCTTTCGCTGGCATTTTACTTAATTTTTTTTTCAGCAAGATAACAGAAACATTCATTTAATAAATAATTATTCGTTAGATATAATTACAAGTTTCAAAAATAATCACTGATGGATTAAAAAAAAACTATCAGAACCCCTGCGAATCTTCCATGGAACCCTTAGAGTCCACGGAACACCTTTTGGGAACCGCTGAATTAGATCCCCACAGGCAGTTTCACGCTGTAAGTGGGCGAACTAAAAATTTATAATTAGATACACAGCTTTTTTTTATAACTTATTATAAATTCATGTTTTGTACAAAGTCATAAAAATAGTTAATTTTTCAATTTTTTTAAATTTAAATATTAATTTATGACAGAATGAATGCCTAAGAATTGTGTGTTGTAAAATAAATAACATATTTATCACAGGTCTAGTTCAGAAAATATTAAATTTGCATTTTAAACGATATCTGGTAACGGGACCCCCACCTAAAAAAAGTACATGGACGAAGGATGATCATTGCTAATTAAAAAATTTGTTTTATTTAGTTGGACTAACGCCTAATGTCCTTCAATTATATTTCACTTTTTTCGAGTCAAATCTTCTGAAAATTTAACTCTGCCAAATTAACTGAACTAATATCCAACTGAAACAAATGTACCTTAAGAGTTAGAATTTTTGTTATGAAAAAGCAGTAAATTAAGAAAATCAAATTACATTTATTTTTAAACTTATTTATTTTTCAGATTAATTGAACTCACAGCGCACTATGTATCAATCGATTCGAAATTTTCCCAGCATCAAACTATGCTCTATTTTTTTTAAATTTCGATTATGTGCCCTTAAATGAAAAATAAACTATTTTTGAAATTTTTGATACTTCAGCACTTAGTGTCCTTAGTATATATATATATTATTGAAAATTTCACTTATGAATTCTTTTAATTTCTTATCAAGAAATGAAATGCTATATAAAAATAAAAAAAACCGAAAGTGAAAATATTCGAATCATTGAAGCTGCCTTTAAAACTTATTTTTTGAAGGCTGCACCGTGACACCATTTCTAGTTGCGCTCTTTGTTTTGCTGCACTATCAATCTTCAAGAAAAATACACATTATTCCCCTCCCCCCTTCGAAAGAGGGATCCGGATGCTTTTCTCTTCCGTGGTCGTTCCACATCAAGACTCCCCTTACGTGTGGCACACTTTTGTCAGTAAAATGTTCTAGAGCCCTCCTAAACGCTCCGTTGCTCGGAGATTGCTCTCGTTTAAAAGCTTCGATTGCTTCTAGCTAAGTTTTACTTCGACATCTTCATCGACGTGTCGGCGTCCTGCGAAAGGTAAAATTTTCATTTATCATCTGGGGGTAAAATTCATTAAAATTAATATCGTTTGATTTGTTTCCATTAAGAAAATTTCTTTATCGTTTGCTGTTTGGAGTTATATTTGATTCTCATTTTGTTTCGAGTATCTTCGAAATCTTTATTTCCATAAGCTTATTTTTATAAACTAATTTTTTGAAAGATTTCTGATTTTATATGTAAAAAATTGCAATAGAAGGCTAAAATTTAGCGAAAAAGACTCTTGACTAAATTTGAAAAGGAAAATTGTGAGTTTATTTTTAAGACCAAAAAATTTGTAAATAGTGAATTTTTTTTTTTAAGCCCTTCAAAATCATTTTTAAATACTCTTTACGCTGGCACGGAACCGTTTCAATAAAAGGGAAATTGCGGACATCGATATTAATCTACACCTGTATATACTGTCAAAACGAAATATTTAATTCTATAATTAAAAATATTTAGATATTAGGTTTGCGTTATGCATGTATAATATTGAATTTCAAATGAGTTGGGCTCATTTATTGTTTTGACAATCGGCTCTCACTTCAAACTCAATTTTGAATAATTTTTTTCGATCTTTGATAATAAATTATCACTATTAAAAATACTATCCATAGAAGTTAATTTTGGTGGAAAAAAATTGAAATCAGTATCTATTTTTTCTCCTTTTTGAAATAAAAATTTGTTTTTAAAGTTTTTGTTCTTTTTGAATATTTGTCGTTTATATTTAAGAGAGAAAGAAATTTAAAAAAAAAAATAAATGGAAAAATGTATCATTTTGAAACTTTTTTAAAACTTACGTTTTCTATGAGGCCCTGTAATATTGCATAGTGAATTCAAACAAGACCTTTTTTCCACTGACATTATTCCATTTATATACATTAAGTTTGGAAATAAATAAGCAATAGTTTACAAAAACAAATTTATATATTTTAAACATTGTGCATACCTTCTGACAGCCGCATTTTTATTGTAATTGTAACCCAATTTTGAAAATATATTTGTAAATAGGCTTTAAAGGAGATTGTTTAAATTCAAGTGTTCGGGAAGTTTCCCAGTTCACCAAAAGTTTGAAGATACAGTCAATTCGCTATAACTCGAAGTACGATAACTCGAATATTATTATAACTCGATTTTTTTATGAGGTCCCGACCCTTTTCTCTTCAATTTCATGTTAATTATTCTCGATTACTCGAATTTTACTCCCTTTAACTCGATTTTTTTTTTGATCTGTTGAAGCAAGAAAAAAACCTAGGAGCTGATATCTTGTTCCTTCCTTTGCAACACACACAATGTCTTTCGCACTCTTCATGGCGAAGCCAAAGCTGTCCCTCTTGAAGTATGTGAACAGTGGTTAAATGAAACGTTACCAAATTTACTTCAAGGATACAGTTAAAATGACGTTTTCAATATTGATGAAATGGGTTTATTTTTTAAATGTCTTCCAAATAAGACTATGATGTTTAAGGATGAAAACTGCTCAGGGGGTAAAATGAGCAAGGAACGTTTGACTGTCCTAGTTGGAGGAAATGCGTCTGGGACAGAGAAATTGCCCTTACTTGTTATCGGAAAATACCGAAATCCCCGATGTTTCAAGAATGTAAAAACGTATCCTTTGGATTACAAGTCTAACAAAAAGTTTTGGATGACATCAGTTTTATTTGAAGACTATGTAAGAAAATTGGATCGGAAATTCTTCGCTAAAAAAAGAAAAGTGATACTCTTTATGGATAAATGCACAGCGCATAGTGATCTACCTAATTTGAAAGCAGTAAACTTGCAGTTTCTCCCGCCAAACACAACAGCAAAGTTGCAGCCGATGGACCAGGGTATCATAAAGTGCTTCAAACAGTCTTATCGTAAATGGCTTGTCAGAAAAATGATCTTAAATATTGTAAGCATTTAGAAGATTTGTAATTAATAAGCATTAATTAAATAATCCGACAATATTTTGAAAGTCCAAAACCGAAACTAACGGTAAGTCGAACTTCCGATATGTCGAACTTCCGATATGTCGAAGTTTTTCGTCAGTCCTATCAGATTCGAGTTATCGCGAATTCACTGTATTTAGTTCTGTTTTGGCTGAAGCGTTTGAAGATAATCTGCACTTCTCAAGTTTAGATTGACCCTCGTTCCTAATTGAGCGTGTAGCTTAGACTGCTACCAAACCCCTACAGGTGACCTAGATACAGGAAAAGTGCTTCATGTACCATAGATAAGGAATTTGTGTTGTATCTAGGTTGTTCAATGCCTAGTTTGGGATACCTGCAAGTGACGTAGTGTGGATGTGTCGATCCTGATCGGTTGTTGAAACGGGGCATGTGTTTACGTTTGCAACTGCTCTTTCCATTCTATTTCGAATAAGCCAATCTTGTCGAGTATCAATTATCCCAAATGACGCATTCTATATTCTTACACAAAGATTCTTTCATACAGATTTCAATTCTTTCATAACATATTTCTTAACACAAGGATAGGCATGAAGCCACGTAGAACATGAACTAATTACCCATCGAAGTTGCCAGGTACACAAAACAAAAATATATCATGATTGCAATAAACAAATAAATCTAAATTAAGTAAAAGACTTAGACGAGAAAGAATTATATTTCAACAAATTTGATACGAAATACGCTCTCTATTTAATCATTAATATTATTTATTAACTTCATATCAATTAACATAAGTTGTGAGGGGAAACTTAGCTCAACTTTAACACAACATTTTGCTCTGGCGCTGACGTCATAAGTCACATGTGTGAGTATTATGATCTTAAAGTGCAATTCTGCAGATTTTTTTTTCTCAGTTTAGAGTTTTTTGATGAGAGCATTGAAATGAATTGAACGGAGTTTTTTCATTTTGTTGCAGGTCATCATGAAGCTTTCAATCTTATGTACCCTACTGGCCGTTGCCTGGGCAGCAGAAGAAAAAGCAGATGTCCGACAGTCCTTTCGTGACAAGCCAAAGTCTCAGCCCGTACCTCACGGGTCAAATTACAACAAAGACAGCGGCAGTACCTCGCAATCACAGCACCTTGATTCCTCCTCTTCGTCCTCATCATCTTCTGCTGAAGAGTACAGACAGCTCAACTCTGAAGAAGTAAAGTTGCTTCTGTTGAAGGTTGTGGATGAGAATGTCGACAAAGATAAGGATGGTTTTGCCACTGCTGATGAGTTGAAGGATTGGTTGCGCGTCCTCCAAGAGAAGGTCATACAGGATAACGTAAACAGGCAGTGGGCGTACTACAGTCCAGAAACTGAAGAGGTTTTGTCCTGGGAAGGGTACTACCCAGAACAAAAGCGTGTCGTGACCTGGGAAAGGTATCTGAACTACACTTATCCAGATGAAGGTATGGATATACTTTTAAAGTTATTGTTAATTTCTTGTAATATACACTGAAGAGCCATTACATTATGGCCACCCTGCTAATAACATGTAGGACCACCTTTAGCCCTCAAAACTGCTAGCACCCGCCGTGGCCTTCATTCCACATGGTGCTGATAGGTAGTCTGAGGTATCTGGTACCAAGCGCTCACCAACTAGTCCTGCAATTCCCTCAAATTGCGAGGGGATAGCGTGGCAGCACGAATTTTGTTTTCCAAGTAGGACCACAAATGCTCTATTGGATTAAGGTCGGGTGAATTTGGGGGCCAAGACGTGACTTGAAAGTCATTGAAATGTTCCTCTAACCAATCCATGACGATTCGACCCTTATGACACGGCGTATATCCTGTTTTTAAGCACCATCCCCGCAGGAAAAACTGTTGCCATGAATGGGTGAACCTGGTCTGTAATTATGTTCAAGTAGCTTACAGATGTCAGGGATTGTTCTATGAGGATTATGTGTCCTAATGTGCCCCATGAAAACATTGTTCCTGGGCGAGAAACCATGAAAACCTGGACGAGCCCATTGTTATAGATGGAGGGTGGTCATAATGTAATGGCTCTTCGGTGTATAATCTGGAATTTTGTATAGTTTCGATACGTTTCAACGAGAACTTATAACGAGAGTTAATGTAGCCACGTGTCGCTAGGTATGGCTGCATGAACTTATAAAGCTAAGCGCAGGTGACGCTAGGGGTTGAAAATCTGGGTAAATACACTCTAATTATTTTTATGCCCAAGCTTGAAACAGGGTGTCATCAATATTATACTTGCAGTGTTTACAATATAGTGAACTCTTTCAATTTAACTTTTAACAAAACAAACATCAAACTAATTCGGAAGACTCCGTGAGCAGTGACGTACTAAGGTGCACCCTATCTTAGACTCTAATTTTTTAAAATTTTAATATGAAATAAACACTATGAAGATACATTCGGTTATTTTATAATCATTCGTTTTATTTTAATTTAAATTATTTTTAAATTAAATTATTTTAAATTATTTTTAAATTAAATTATTTTTAAATTAAATTAATTAGGAACTTAGAAAAGTACTAAATTGGAACCTTATATGCACTTACCACATTTATTTGAAAAGTGGAATAAAGTGAAAGTTAAAAGTGGAATAATTTTTTCTTCATTACATCACGTAATATAGAAGATTATTTTAAAACTAAGTAAAAATAATGTTCTTAAATGAAAGTAAAGAAAAATAGATGAATATTCTATTGAGCAACACAAATGCAAATTATATTTTAATTAAAAAAAATGTATGAGGTCTAAAATTAAAATAAGACTATCGCATTATTTTAAATATAATTCAACATTCAGTTCAGTATATTTTCTTCAGCTTTAGGACATTTATATTAAATGAATTATAAGAGATTTTATGAATGTTAAATCTGAAAACTGTTTTTTAAGCTACAAAAAATAAGAAACAAAGTTCAAAAAGAGTACTTTAAGGAATCCACTTTCGAATTTCGCGTGTTCTAATAATAATGTATTAAAAATATTTTAAAGAGAATGTGGAAATATCTAGTTTTAACTTTTAAAAAAAAATTTCGGAAAAAAACTTGGAGTGACTATGAAATCTGCACAAATAAAGCACGTTAAAAGTGTTGAGTAAAATCCGCGATTCGAAAATCACAAGTTGTTGTAATGCCTGATTTAAACATATTAAGATTTTCGAAATTCCGTGAAAAATCACAGCAATTATTGTTAAAAAAAACTATTAGAAAAATGAGTGTGAATTGAAACTTAGTTTCGAGTTTAACTTAGATATACGTACTTAGAGAAAAGATGCATAACATAGTAGTACCCAGAGAAAGAGAGTATTTAAAGAAAGAGAGTACTTAGAAAATAGTGCTATAATATGAACACAAATAAAGCAAAGCCAAAAGTGATTATTATTTGCACAATTCGAAACTCTCGAGTGGTTATAATGAATGTATTGAAAAGATCGGGATTAAAAAAACTCGTGGAACTTCCTAAGACACGATCGCAAAGTCACTTAGATTAACTGGACACAAAGAACTTTAACTGAAATTGCAAAAGTGAAAGTTTGGAGAGAGTTGTATAAAATGACATGGCATGTTAGAACCCTGAATAACCGAACTATAGGTCTATAGCAATCTTTTATTTATTTACTTTTTTTTCTTTTTACATACGTTTTTCTGTGCACGTAATGTGACGCAGTCCATTCTGTAGATTAAATTTTATCGAAAGAATGTATATTTGCTTTACATAGTACGCTTGACCAGTGAAGGTGATCCTTTTGGGCAGCGTAGTATTAAAATGTTGCGTCGAGCATATTTTCTTTCCAGCACTTCTTTTGCGAGTCTCGAAATGAAAAGTTCGTGTACGAGTTTCATCCTTCAGATTTTTCTTTTCTGTAAAGGATTTTCTTTTTATTCTTAACTAAAAGCTTAATGGGATATCTGCAAGTGACGTAGATCTTGATCCTGATGGGTTGTTGATACGCGGCATTTGCTTACATTAGCAACTGTTCTTTCCATTCTGTTTCGAGAAAGCGAAGCCCGTCAAGTATCAATTCTCTTAAGTAACACGTTCTATATTCGTTCACAAAGATTTCAATTCTTCCACTATATACTCGCATTTACACAAAGACAGGCACGAAGCAATGTAGAACATAAACTTATGCATCGTTGCCAGGTACATAAAACAAAAAAATATCACGGTTACTATAAAATACACGAGTAAATAGCTAAGTTAAGTAAGCGAAATAGACTAGAAAGAATTATATTTCAACAAATTTTACGCCATTTTGCTGACAAAGATTAGTTGACTTATATTGTTCTAATCCATCCACGCTTTAAGATTGATCAACAGGAAGCTGCAGGGAAATGAAACAAAGAAAAATGCTGCCAAAAATTTATGTGGTCTCATAAAAAATGTGAGGAAATGAGTACTATTCATTGATTTTTTTGAAAATTTTTATGTAGGGGGATAATTCTCGCATAATCGACGACCTTTAAAGGGTCGTGGTGGCTCAGGGAATAGAGCACTCTCCTTCAAATGAGGTGATCCGGGTACGAATCCCAGCAATGACTGGTCTATATGTATTCCGTCCCAGACTCTCAACGACCACTGTGCTGACGTAAAATATCCTCAGTGACAGACAAATCATGGGCTAGTCCCCTTGCTGTCAGGATAACCGTGAGATGTTTTCGTGGTTTTCTTCACCATATAACCCAAATGCGGGTTAATTGCCTCGAAAAGGCCTCCATAAAGACTCATTTCTCCCAATATTTGATGCAGGAGTTCCCTTTTCTTCTGGTTTAGGTTCAACGGCTACGAAGTAATTTATTATTTAGCAGTTCAATTTATTGTAGTCCTAATTGGTAGTCCCAAAAGAACAACTCAAAATTGGGTTGACTGTTTAACGACGGTTATAAAACAAAACAACTTTTAAAACAGTAATTTGTCTGTTTGAAATTTCGGAAAATTCTTAACGGTAAGATGGTGTATATAGTTGAAATTTTAGCTTTTTCTAAAGTGTAAGGGACTCAAACTGATTTTTTTTAATTTTATTTAATCCTTTTTCTTGGTGAAAGATCTTCGAAAAACTCTTAATTGTATGAGAAGGGTTGCTTAACACTTTCTCGGTCATGTAAAACGGTTTGCGGTTTAAAAACAAATCATTTTTTTCCTTGCATACACACGGACAAAGAACAACCAGACAAATCAGAACAGTTTCAGTGTTGACCTAAATTAATTAGAATTTAAAATTCAACCTTTTAAAATTCATATTTTAAATTTATTGTTTTCCTTTAGTAGGTCGATTCTAGAAAACGGGGTAGAACGAATGGTTTGTACTTTAAATTCTCGTGGGGATTCCGCTTTCAGAGTATTAATCCGGTCTTTCCAATTCCGGCCCCTTGACCGAGTTTCCAATAAAAGCCATTGATCTATGTTATGCCAGACAGAGGGGTTGTTGACACTGAGATTTCTCTTAACTTTCTAAATTCCCCGTCTTTATTGTCATCTGACGGAAATAAGTTCTATATTTCTTCCTCATTAAGAATTTGTATATCGATTTTAGGAGTCTTGTTTTTATATTTCAGAACCTGTATGTACGATTTTTTTTTCTTCCAACAATCCAATGCGTGTTTACTCACCCACTTTAATGCTTGGAGACATTAATTTTGTCGTAACTTTACCAATTAAAAGCTATTTTTAAAGCATAAAATGGAACAACCTGAGCAAGCATCTTTTTTCCCCCTCTTCTATATAAAAAAAAGCACGTTTCAATACTTTAAATTTTTTTCTGAAACTGAAATTTAAATTTGGAAATTGGAAGTATTTAAATAGGTTTGAAGAATTTGTTAGAGCTAATTAGTACCGGTCACTTAAAGAGGATGATATACAGGGTTAGAAGTCCAAAATATAAAAATTGAGGACAAAATTGCCTCTAAGGACAATTTAAGGAAGTAGATTTTCTGATGGGAGCAATATGTAATGCCAACATGGATTCGAAGATATAAAATTGGTAATAGTTTTAGTAGTTCCTGCACTTAAGTGAAAGAAGAAAAAAAAACCTTTTTAAAAAAAATTCAGATTTTTTTTTTTTTAAAGTTACGCAAAAATGTTTCTTTTTTTATTGTTTTTTGGAAGTCTAAATATGTGAAGTCGTTAAATAGTAGGCAAAGTACGAAGATTCTCTTGTGAAATGTTTTTCACAAGAGAATCTTCGTATTTTCTTCGTATACTTTTATGTATCTTCGTATACTTTTATGCCATCGAATCAAGGGTAATTATCTCTAACACTAGAAGTGGATTAATATCTTACTTGACGCGCTATAAAAACTCTGTCGTTCATTTTGTTATTTACTTTGTTTCACGACATATGACATAGTTTTTAAATTTGCTATTTCTAGAATAAGCAATAAATTTTAAAACGCTGAATTTTTTTCAAAACACCGAACAAATTACGGCAAGATTATTGTAATAGGAAAGTAATTCTGCAATAAGTTGTTTGAAGTTTGATATTTTCTATTTTATTTTTATAACAGTCATTGAACAGCTGACCAAATTTTAGGTTTACTGTTACTAATGTTAAATTCCGTAACCTTGTAATTTTGAACCTAGGAGTATTACAAGACAAGGGAGCTTTTGGATCAAGTATTGGAAAATCAATGATCAAGTATTTGCCATCGTGGAGGACTTTTTGATGGAGCTAACCCGCATTTTCGTTAAATGGAGAGAACCACGAAAATATCCCACGGTTAGCCCGACGGCAAGGAGATTCTAACCCGTGATCCATTTACGACTGAGTATATTTTGCGTCAACACTGCTGTCGGTGGAAGACTGGTGCAGAATTCGAATATACTTGCCATGGCTGGGATTCGAATTCGGTTCACTTCTTTGGGAGGCAAACTCTCTATTTCCTGAGCAACCACTACTCTTTGATATTTTGTAGTAATTTTTTCAGCACTGGCAGATTCATGGTTTAATATAAGTTTATCAAAGCTCATTTTTCTCTTAGCTCAGCCATTCGAGGAAAAGTTTCACCCGCAAAGGCAAATTTCTCCCAATACTTGATCCAGAAGTCCCCTTGTCTTCTGGATTGGGTTCGAAATTACAAGGCTACGTAGTTGAACATCAGTAGTCGTAAACCCAAAGATTGGGTCGGCTCTAAAATAAAATAAATAAAATTTTTTTCTTGGTTTCAGTGTTATCAGGAAGTGAGAATCTTACTCCCGAGCTGGAAGAGGTGAAGGCAACGATGCGCCGCGCAGAGAGGCGTTGGAAGAACGCAGACGTTGACGGTGATGGAAGTTTGTCTAAAGAAGAATTCAGAGATTTCATCCATCCGNTTGTCTTCCAGATTGGGTTCGAAATTACAAGGTTGCGTAGTTGAACATCAGTAGTCGTAAACCCAAAGATTGGGTCGGCTCTAAAATAAAATAAATAAAATTTTTTTCTTTGTTTCAGTGTTATCAGGAAGTGAGAATCTTACTCCCGAGCTGGAAGAGGTGAAGGCAACGATGCGCCGCGCAGAGAGGCGTTGGAAGAACGCAGACGTTGACGGTGATGGAAGTTTGTCTAAAGAAGAATTCAGAGATTTCATCCATCCGGAAGAATCCCAGAGAGCAGGTGGAGTCGCTGTTCTGGAAGCCATGGAGGACATGGACACTGACAAAGACAACAAAGTATCGCTTGATGAATACATGACTCACCTCAACAAGGTAACTTCTAATTCCATAAGTAATAGCCCTTTAGTGATACAAAGAGATAAGAAATGGAAGTTTTTCTTTCTTAGAGGGATCAGGCGTAAGAATTCTATAACTTCATTAAGGGTCGTGGTAGCTCAAGGGAAGCTCGTGGTAGCATTTGCCTCCTAGTGAGGTGAATCTGATTCGATTCCCAGCTGTGGTTACTGGATACGAATTCTTCTCCCAGTTCGCACTGACCCCAGCGCTGGAATAGAATATTCTCAGTGGTAGATTCATCATGAATTAAAATCTCTCTTGCCGTCGAGAGAAGGAGATTTTCCTCTCCATGTAACTCAAATGCGGGTTAGTTCATCTTAAAGTCCACCACGAAGGTTAGTTCCAACGCTTCATCCAAGAGTTCCTTTGTCTTATGGGTTTGGTTCCAAATTTTAAGGCTACGGAGTTGAGCATTGATAGTTGTCAACCCGGAATTAGGTCTGCTGTTAAGCGTCGGTTATAAAATGAAATATAACTTCAGTGCAGCATCGTTAATTTGAATTCTAAGAGCTGCTTGCATGTAAATCAATCAGAGCTCTAAATCAATTAATATGCACATGACCTAGCAAGTCTAAAGATTATTCTGTTAAAGTGTGGAAACGAGTGTTTTACGAAATTCACTTAGGTAACGTGCTCATTAATGGTTTCCGTCTATTTGAAGTTTCTCTCATTCTATCAATTGATTTGTTAGTTGTTTGATTGTATTGATTTGGTTCTTTATATATGGGTAGATACATAAATGACATTGTCAATTTTCTAAATTTTAATAATATTTTAAACAGTTTGATTCTCTTGCATTATAGTTATTAAAGTGGTTGATTCTATGAACTGAGGAGTTGTTGGATTGTAATAGTGAAAAACCTCGGGAGATTATTCCATTCTGTTCCACCCTAAAAGGGTCGTTCATGGAGGTTGGCCGTTCTTAGGGGTTACCCCCCACTGACTTCAAAATGTTATGGCAGGTACAGTGCGCAAAATAAAATAATTAAAAAACAGACCACTCTGAATAACTTTGGACACAATCTTAATGGTCGCTGGGAGAGATTTTGATGATTTCTCCTAAAGGGTTTTCTTCAAAACAGTCCATGGAGAAAGTTCTGTGCCTCCCAAAAGTGGTTCTATATAGAAGAGATCGCTATAAAGAGGTGGGCTTTCCTGGTGCTTTCACTGTAACTTCCTTTTCTTTAGGTATCGAAAAATAAACAAGGTAATTTAAGCTTACAGAACCTTGCTATTCCAGCAAAGATCCTATTTTCTGACTAGGCGCCCTACTAATGTAGCATGATACGTAAATTTTTATGAAACTGGTAAAGTCAATGCGCCTTATACGTAAATTTTACGCAATATTGACGAAATGATATTGCCAATGAGATATTATGTAAAAAAAAAAGCTATGGTATATTTTAATTAGTATTAACTGAATATATTTTGCAAAGTACTCTTCGGTAAGATTGCTTTCGTATGTTTTACGAAAGAATATTTACTATTTAAATTTGGTAAAATTGATTCTGTGTATTTTTCGTATTGGCAAAGCAAATTTACTTTTTATAAATGTCGGTTAGAATTTATTGACGCAAACTTTCTGTTTTTTTGGATAACTTTTTTCTATAATTTGGCGTTTCGACTTACATTTTGTAGTAAATAATCTATAAAAATAACTTACTCATTTTTACCTAGTAAAAAGTGTTTTAAAATTTTGGTAGAAGCTAATTTGTTTACGTAAAATTTTACATTTTTTGAGTAACCATTTTTTGCTATAATTTGATATGTTAGTTAAATAAATCTTGCGAATGCTTTGTAAAATTTAAAGGTGAAATACGTATTTCTGAAGTAAATTTGATACTTCTCTGCTAACTGGGTAGTAAATAATGTGCAAATTATCTAGGTCGCTTGAGAAATGAAAAAAAATTTAACTTTAACCATAGTTAATCTGCACATCTGCTATATTATCTGTAGAATAAAATTTCCACACTTTAACGGTAACATAATCACTAGAAGAGAGAGAGGGTGAGGGAGAGGAAATTTAATTGAAAGTATATTTTAACTATGCAAATATTTAAATTCAAACTAATTTCCTTGTAAATGAAAATTCTTGGCTGGTAAGAAATTTAATTCCATGAAGTATTATGTTTTTCTTAAATGAATTTATTATATATTTGCTTCAAGCAAATATTTTTCTGTTAAAAAAAAATTGTTCAATTTTGTAATAAAAACAGGTTTAAAATGACAGCATCCTTATTTGTCAAGCAGAAATGCCCTTTGAATGGAACTTTTCCGTCCAGTTTCTTCGCGCCACTGCTTTCATTATATTCCCATGAAAAATATTTTCAACCTATTTCGCAGAATCATTTTATGTTTCAAAATAGTTAAGGTAACTTAAAGTTTTAATCAAAGGTTTCAGAAATTTCAATTATTTTACTTCAAAATTATAAAAGATTTTATTTTTTTGTCTGATAATAGGAGCGCTAACAAGCATGTACTTAAAGTAACATATTTTTATAAATACAAATTTTTGAATTCAGTTAGTTTGACAAAAAAAAATTCTCCTTTTTAATCTATCTTAAGAACATAACCGTTTGTGTTGTCTTAAAATGGTTGAAATTTTTTTAATTGTTTTTATTTCTAATGGCAAGATTCAAAGGAAACTGCAGCAATAAATACTAAGAATCAAACATAGAGGGGGGAAACATAGAGAAGAATAGAGGCAACGATAGCCTATGACTTCAAAAGGGTCCTGGCCTTTCAATAGAGGTCCACAAGAGAACGTTTGTTTAAAGCTCTGCAAAGGTGATCACCATCCATGATCTGTCCTAGATTAGAGACTGCAGATTGGACTTGCAGAAACGGAGTCAGCCATCATTTTATGCCTGCGCTATTTTGAGACTACAGATAATTTGTCGTTCCAAGACTTTTGAATTGTTCTAAGAGTGAGAGCGAGGTTCTTTTCGAACTTCTAAAACATGGTATTTTTAATGGATCGTTCAATTTTTCCAAAAGATATACTGGAAAGAAATGTTAGTAGAATCGTGGCACCCTTTTTAGTGAATCGGCAATCTCTATAATACCAGAATTCCACTGTAAAACAAAATACCCTTATCACTGACAGATAAGTCTCCGAAATTTGAGGACCTCAAAGGATTCAGAAGCTGACATTACTATAGGGCTCGAAAGTAGCTTGAGATAAAAGATAAATTCTGTTTCTAGTGATCATAAAACTATTAAAACTCGTAAGGTCATCAAACACAAAGCTCCTGTATAGATTTGAATGCTCTAGCTAATTGGAAAGTGGTCGTAATTTCGGTTACAAGATTTCACTCGTACTCGCACAATAGGGAAAAAAGTGTGGTCAAATCAAATCGCTTTTTTTTTTTAAAATTGTAATTCGAGACTTCAACTATTATTACAAATTTTATTCTAATATAAATTTTTTGATAAAAATGTAATTTTTAAAGCTCTGATCTGTCTTTAAATTTTTGAATTGTGTTGCAGCATTTTAAATGTTATTTTGATAATGACTTTAAATGAGTAATTAGAAAACATTGCTAAGACAAATTAGCTCTATGATAACAAGGTGACCTTTTTCCTTTAGGGGACGACATTATCACTGCTGGCGATTTTTCTGAGACTGGCCCCTTTTATACTCGTTTTTTTTTTTTTTTTTTTTTTTTTTTTTTTTTTTTTTTTTTTTTTTTTTTTTTNTTTTTTTTTTTTTTTTTTTTTTTAAATAGAATAGGCATCTTGAAGTTGCGCGATTTCCACTATCTCCACACTTTTCATCTCTCCGTTACCAAAGTTCAGTCAAATCTTTCCTTTTCTCCATGTAAGTATATTCAAACTTACTGAAGTGAACTGATGAGGCAGAATAGAGAAAAATTGCTGAAACCATGGTAACAAAGAGAGAAAGCGTGGAGAGTGGGGAAAATCTCGTAATCTTGACGCTTATTTCATTTATTTACAAAGAGTGGTTATGTGTCCACGAATTATAAGCTAACGCAACAAAATAATTTGTTATTAGTCAAAACAAGAGTTAAGAGACCGAATCAAAAAGTGGGCAATCTATAAAATTGTTTGAAGAAAAAGTTTATTTGGATTTAAAAAATGAGTTTGGATCTTAAAAAAAAACCCTGGAAGAATAATCATTAGATAAAAGAATTTAAACTTTAAAAAAAAAAAAAAACGTTAGTCTAAGCTTTAAGTAATCGAAAGCTTAGTTTCTTCAAATGAGCCTTATTATTATTATTATTTTATTATTTTTTTTTGGTTTATATCCGGCACCACGATTCAAGATTGCAACACTCGAATACGTCATCTGGGGAGAAGACCGGTTCCATGACTTCTCCCTTTCCTCGCCTCTTCTCGGTTGTGTAGGAATGTACCACGATATTTTCCCTCTAAAATTTTTCATATTTAACTGTCGTAAATATTTTCTTTACTCTTTTGGAACTATGTTCAATGTAGTTTTCAGTTTCATATACTTTCCTAACTTAAAAGTCTATTTGAAAATCAAGACTAACTAACTTCCTTCGATATGACTCTCCCATTTAGATCGCGTGAAAATTCTCCTTACTTTGTTTAATGGAGATTATTTAATTTTTTTGGGATCACAGTGGCTAGATTATGTATACGTGTCCTTTCAGCCCATTTTTTTAAGAATAAACTTTATTTTTTAAAGGTTTCCGGGGAAGAAAAAGAGGACCCCAGCTGGTCAGAAGCTCAACGTGGTCACTTCACTGACTTCTTGGACAAGGATAAAGATGGTAATCTGTCTGAAAAAGAGATGCGCGAATGGGTGGTTCCAACCTATGATCGGAGTGAGGCTGAAGCGTGGAGGTTGATCTCCATTGCTGACCAGGATCAGGATTCCAAACTGAGCAGAGATGAGATCGGTACTTACCATGAGTACTTCCTGACACTCCTACCACCGGAATACTGGGTGCAGGAAGATCCCACAGAATCTTCCAAACACGATGAGTTTTAAGATACTAGGATGTTCTTTTTTTATTGTACATATACATTGCATGTTGCATGAGAGCTTAAGATCAAAATCTTCCATATTCAAGAGTTTTTTTAATATTTTTACAAATTTGTACTACTTTTTGATCATTGTACAAAATTTTGAAACTTTTTTTTCCTGAAATAAAGTTTACTTTATTATATTTGTTATAAACAGACCTGTTTTTATTTTTGTCACCTTACGAGTTTACAATTTTATAAAACAGGAAGAGAAATTCCTCTCCCCAGTACTCTTCTCCAATTTCACTATCGAAACAAAGTGAATTAAATGCACATCAGTCAGAAGTGGCTATACTGCGCTTACCTCAAATAACATTAAGAGTTATGAACTAAAGGGAAATCATATAAAAAATTTCACTTTGTAAGTTTAAAATGCGTATTGTGGGAGATTATTTTAATGAAAATATTCATTTCTATGGATGCAATTACCCGAATGACATACTGGGTCGATTTTTTTACAAACAAGCTTAAAATGAAAATCTTATAAACGTTCAAAAGCCAAGACAATAAATCTAGTTACTGTCAAACATTTCTTAAGCCAGCCAGAGTTGAAACTACCACAATTCACGAACGTAAACTAAGCAAATCCTGTTTCAAATTTAAAAATTTTAGTTTTATAAAGTTCACCTCATTTTTAAGCGATTACTTGCACGCTGTTCGAAGGCTATCTTTAGGGCTTTTCGTCTGTCCCGTAGTGGGACTGATTCGTTAAGACACTGTTCTCAATAAAACCCTGTGTACAATCAATCAATAGAACCCCGAAGTCAAGCATCACTGGCTGCGATCAGTCAGCGTAGGGACCGTGGATGCACGGTATCGTCCGCGTTAAACTAGATTTCCAGCGCAGGTCGTCGTGCTACCAAAGCGGAGGAGCTATCCAACACCTCCTAGATAAGAGCAGACCTCAGCACGGGTTACCATAAATATCCTTTAGTAGTCCAAACGTAATGACATATTTCGTATTTTCAACCACTGCGCAGCTTAGTACTCCGAACGAGATGACATCTTTCTTATTTTTCATCTACTGCGCAGTTAACTTTGTCACATCTGACTACTAAATTGATCCGTGCTGAGGCCTTCCGACTTCTAGGACGTGTTGAGCTATCCCCTCTGCAGAGGATCATGTCTTTGGTTCATCCTCAGATATAATTTATTATACAATATCAGTGGTTTCTTTCCTATATGAGTTGTACGTCTATTTAAATCTGTTGAAATTTTCTTTAATTTCTCCTGATCTGCTGTGCTGTGTATGTCAACAATTCACGATCGAAAATCTCAAGGCGCATATTTTACTCTATTTTGAGCAGTTGACATATTTATGGGATTACAGCTATCGATGTTCAACTTCGCGGCCTTATAATTTTTGAACCCAATCCAGAAGACAAGGGAACTCTTGGAACGAGAATTGGAATTAACCTAGCTTTCGTGCAGGACTTTTTCCTAGAACTAATCCGCATTCCCGTTACACAGAGAAAAATCTCCCACGGTTATCCCGACAGATGACCGAGCCTGCAGCTGAATTCAAATCGTCGAGCCATCTCTGGGATAAGAACCTGGATCATCTTATTTGGAGGCGAATGCTCTATCCACTGATTCACTGCGGGTCTGAAAAGGCATTGAGCAAAATTCTTTTTCTGGGCAACGATTTGCTTACTTTCAGCATTAGCGTGTGGATAGGCATAGAAGGGTGGGCACGCTTTCTTTCACCTTTTAGTTTGAGATAAATTGAAAAATGTTACGTTTGTAAGACATATAGATCTCAAAACTACGTTTAACACAGAGAAGGCACTTCATAATACAGAGGTAGCTGGTTTGATTCTCGAATTTATTGATTCTATTTCTATCAGTCTTTCTAAATATTCTTTTTATCAAATGCTTGAAAACCTTTCAAGGACAAGCTTTTGCAAACATTCATTCATTTTATTTCTTAATAACAAATGAAATCAATATGTATATGTAAATAAATCTAAAACATTTGCAGTATTTAAATAACATGGACTGGTCCTGTTGTGATGCAACGGCACTGCTTTAAATAACTTATATTGCCTATTGATGTTTGAAATTGGACCAAATTCAGATTATTGGTCCAAAAGTTATTGTGGAATTTCATGTTTTATTTTGTGTACTGTTATCCTTTTTGCTCAGTTTTTGCCCTTAAAATTTTTTTTTTTAAAAGTGAGAATTAACTTTTTGTGGGGAATTATAGTAAAAATTAGTCAATAAAATAAGGAATTTGAACAAAACAAATTTAAAAATTGATAAATTTTATACAAATTAAATAAATGGTACTATTATGTAAAAACCATCTTTTATTGACCAATAAATCTTATGTTAGCATTCCTTTAATAAAACTTTCGAAGTTTAGATAAAAAAATGTGAGATACGTGCAGTTTCCTAGATATGCACAAAAATTCAATCTTTTTAATTTATTTTTTATAGGTTTCAGTTTTTTCAGGTTAGGTTTCAGTTTTATAGGTTCTCAGTTTTATAGGTTATACCTATACGTTTATCTACTTAGCTTTTTGTTTTTGAAGTGCAGTGGTTGGAGGTAGCGCCCTACGAGTAGTAAAACTACTGTAGTCACTACTTTTTTTCTTCACAGTTTGCAGTGTAGTGCAGTACAGAAACAAAAACAGCAGTTTGTAGCGATTCCTGGCAAACTACTTTTAACATTAGTTTAGTAAAGAAACACGGCTCTAACGCAACTAATTTTTTGAATTTGATGGAAGCGAATCTTCGAGGGTCCGTCAATGGATGGAATGTTTGGTTACAGATGAGCATTAACAGGAATTACGCGTTCAAATTCACGTAATTAATATTTAAACTAACCTTTACGAAAAATGGTTAATTAATGACTTTGGTCGCACTTTTACATGCGATTGTACGCACTTGAAACGTTGATCTTATTTCAAAGAAAGGGAACATATTTTCAATCTGTTCAATTTCTTAGAGGAAATAAAATAGCATCAAACAATTAATAAAATTTCAAGTATTTTATAATTTCACATTTCTTAAACACGTTGAATGCCATGGGGGTCACCGGTGACTGGCACTGAGTTTGTTCGTAGCGCCAAGGGGGTCACCGGTGTCCGACGAAGCCAAGATTATTAGAAACACATAATTCGTGTAAATTTTTAATGCTTTTAATTTTTTTAATATTAATATCGTTACTAAATTGGTTTGAAGAAATTAATGCAATCCATACTGAGAAAATCATTTTGGCCAGACAAGCAAGTCACGTAAAACTAGCGTGGCATTCAACGTTAATATATACTTAATTAATTAAAATATATGGGTGATTCTCAAGAAACATGACAATTCATTGTCCCTTGCTCCAAGATCTAATACTATAATACTAAAAGAACTTTTTTTTTAAAAAAGAAACCTAATAAATAGCATTGCTGTTAGCATTTTAAAATGACTTTGCACTAGCATTGACTGTTTTGTATTATTAAAANTATGAGATTGCCGCAGCTGATGCTCTCTGGTTATTTCAGTTTCAGTTTTTAAAAGTGCTACATGTTGAGCCACGTCAGCTAGATTTGGCATGTGACATTTTTAGCGGCAATCATTGGTCGATTTTCTAGCGTTGCCATTCGGGGAGTTGAACTGAGGCTTTTTTTTGCTGCCGTGTAAGAGAAATATATATATAGATTACGCATTTGAATTCACGTAATTAATATTTAAACTAACCTTTACGAAAAATGGTTAATTAATGACTTTGGTCGCACTTTTACATGCGATTGTACGCACGTGAAACGTTGATCTTATTTCAAAGAAAGAGAACATATTTTCAATCTGTTTAATTTCTTAGAGGAAATAAAATAGCATCAAACAATTAAAAAAATTTCAAGTATTTTATAATTTCACATTTCTTAACACGTTGAATGCCATGGGGGTCACCGGTGACTGGCACTGAGTTTGTTCGTAGCGCCACGGGGGTCACCGGTGTCCGACGAAGCCAAGATTATTAGAAACACATAATTCGTGTAAATTTTTAATGCTTTTAATTTTTTTAATATTAATATCGTTACTAAATTGGTTTGAAGAAATTAATGCAATCCATACTGAGAAAATCATTTTGGCCAGACGGGCAAGCCATGTAAAATTAGCGTGGCATTCAACGTTAATATATACTTAATTAGTTAAAATATATACTAATTTAAATATATACTTAATTAATTAAATATATACTTAATGTCGAGAAAGGCATAAATAGTTAAAGGTTAAATTAACAAAATCTAAAAAAATGTTTTGGAGTAACAAACTGGCTCATGTAAACATAAATAAATGTTTCTTAATATTTAACGTAAGTTTTTCTCCTTAAAGTAGCGAAGTAGTTACTGCATTTCCGAAGTAGTTTATAGTCACTACATTAAAAAATATAGTTGCAGTTAACTACATTTGTAAGAAAGTTGCAGTGAACTACAAAAATTGCGTAGTTTTTCAGAACACTGGCTAAGTGACTTGTCGATAAAAAAAATATATATTTTAGAAAATTCTCAATCAAGCATTATTTAGACTGCCAATACAACAAATTGCATTAAATAAAAACTATAAGTTAAAACAATGTTTTATTTATCAAATATTTACAAAAGTCAAAAATCAAATCTTTTATTAGATGCATGATGAAATATTTTTTTACAAAAGTACTAAACGATTTGATAAAATAGAGTTTTTAATTAGTATGGATTTTTTTTCCATGACCGATACATTTTGTTAAAAGCATTGTAAAAGGCACAAAACATTTGGATTCATACCATTCAACTTAGTGAAGACACATTTTGTTGCAGTAAATAAAAACTTTTCAGAGTCTCCCTAGAATCTGAGCTCCTGATACATTGGTGGCGCTATCTTTTTTTGTTTGAGTAGATTGATCTCTGAAAATACAGAGTATTCATAATGAATACAATTTATTCAATGAAAGGAGTTTATTACAAAATATCGCAGAATCTTTCTACAACGAAGTCTCCACCTCTTTGTAACGACATTTTTATGGGAACGTTAAAGTTTTCTCTCCGCATTGTTTCCCAATAACGGATTTTTCATACGCTTATATTTTCGATTTCAGTCATTTTTTTTAAAGAAAGTTTCGATTGAAAGTTTGAATTTAACAACTTTAGAAGGGAATGGAAGAATGACCAATGATGTAACTCTTTGACTTTTTTCAGATGAAGAACTGTTAAATAGTCAACAGATGAAGAGTTTTTTAATACTGCGAAATATTCCAATAAAGCACAGTAAACTACACTTCTCTATATACAGGGGCGGATATCCAGAAATTTTTTCTGGGAGGGGAGGTCATAGACTCAGATCCCCCCCCCCACAATTAATTGTTTTATAAAAAAAAAAAATTTAAATATTTTTTTTGAAAAAAAAAGAAAAAAAACTGGGGTTTTAATGTTAGTCTTCTCATTTATTTTTTTAATAATGAACAATAGAACAATACATAAATAATTCAAGTATTCAAAATCTTTAAATAATAAATGTAATGCGTTTCTTAGAAACTCTGGCAAATTTGTCAATGATTTTTTTCAACATCCAAATCAATTTCTAAATGAATGTTTAATAATGCGAGTCCATTTAATCGTTCTTGATTTTGAGTTGCTCTAAGCCAAGTTGTGAGACGCCAAAGAGTTGAAAAGGAACGTTCTGCTGTTGCTGCACTAACTGGCAGAGTTATTAAAATTCTCAACAACATATCGATTGATGGGTACAAATCGATGTCACAGGCATTAGTAATCTTGGAAAGATCGTTGGGCACTTCAAGTCATGCTTCAAGTCAACTTTATTAATGTTTACAATGAAACTATGAAGAATTTCGTTTTAATCTTTTGGATTATGATTCTTGAAACAGTGAAGAACATAATTAGATGGAGAAAAAAATCGCTTTTTCCGACCTACCTAGGTGTATATATTCCCTTAAATAATTTTTAAAATATATTATTTCTTTTGCAAACTATTAAATAAATCATTATTTTTTTTTTAATTTTTTTTGGGGGGGGGGGTCATGACTCCTATGACCCCCCGCTGTATCCGCCACTGTCTATATACCGCGTTAACATTACAATACTTATAGCAAACCAGCATCGATAAATATGTTGAGTTTTATTTCGAATGTTCTTAATAATTTTAATTTTTTCCATACGTAATAATTACGTTAAAGTATATTTTTTTGATTTAAAGTATTTATATTTGAAAACTATTTTTTAACATTAATATTTATCTGTTCCACAGAAATATTGCACTGCTTAGTATGAAAGTCTAAAGATTCATAAAAGGATCTGCAGAACACGAAGTACTTTAATATGCAAAGCCTCCTGATTCAAAATCTGTGTTAAAAAGATCTTATAACGTATTACATATTTTTCTCGAAACTGATGAATTTTCTTTGTTTTGAGCATGTTATTATCATAATGGAATATTAATGATTTTAACAAATTACTAATATGCATCAGCTTCAATTTTTATCGATCGTCATAATGACATACAGTGGCATGCAAAAGTCTCCGGCCATTATATTATCATTTTAATTTGATTACAAAAAATCGAATAAAAATTAACATTTAAAACAGCCTTATGTTTTAAAGGCAGCACAGTTTTTTACATGCATCTTATAAACAATTTATGTCTATTTTAAAAGTTATATATATATATATATATATGCGGCCAAATGCTAAAAGAAATTATGAAATTGCATTGGCTGAAGACTTTTGCACATCTCTATATTTTCAAAATTATCACACATAAAATTTTTTTTAAGAATTACTTAAGAAAACTGCAAAAATTTTTAACCTCAGTAAAACAAAATTCTTGTATAGTGAACCTTTCAATTTATAGAGAGACTCCACTCTATGGAATATAATTTTAGTATGAATTAGGTGACGCCCGGTGGCTGAGCGGTAGCGCTTCGCGCTGTCGTGCCACAGGTCCTTGGTTCGATCCTTGGGCCGGGCAAGGCCGACTCAGCCTTTCATCCCTTCAGTGGGTCGATAAAATGAGTACCAAGCATGCTTGGGAACTAACACTGGGGGTTCCGCGTTCGGCTGACCACCTGACCGGAACATATGCTCCTGCACCCCAGAGCCCAAGGTCAAGAAAACTGAGATGGGCACAGTCGGCCTTGGCCCTCTTAATGGGCTGTCGCGCCACTGAGTTAGTTAGTTAGTTAGTT